CCCCAGCCCCAGGGAAGGCAGGAATTCTGCTGCCAGCCTGCAGGAGCTGCAGCCAGGAGCAGGCTGGCTCTGCCCAGGTTCAGCTCCAGTGTCAGGGATCAGGGGGTGGCCTGGGGCCCCTAAAGCTCCCCCACATCCATGGCAGGGACACCTCCCACTGCCCCAGGGATCCAGGGGCAGCCCCAGCTGCTCTGGGAATTCCCTCCTCAGCCTCCCAGGGAACAATTCCTAATTCCCAAAGTCCCAACTAAATCTCTCCCCCTTTAGTCCCAACCATTCCCCCTTGTCCTGGCACTTCCTGCAGGCTCCCTCCACTGGAATTCCCAATTATCTCCCCCTGGCAGTGGGGCCATTCCCAGTGTCCTGCCCCCTCCAGGCCCTGTCCCCAGCCCCTCCCAGGTGACCCCAAAGCTTCTCCTCCCCTGCCCAGCTCCCATGGGATACTCACAAGCCATAGGCAGTTCCCAGCTGGTGCTCGGGGACAACAAAGGCCACCATGGGCCACAGGGCACAGGCCAGCAGGGAATAGGCCACCCCCAGCAGGCACTGGGGACACAGGACAGCACACAGGGTCACCCACACTCAGTACATCGAGAGACCCCCTGCCCTTCTCCACAAACACCCCGTGCAATGGAATTCCACACAAATACCCACGCTCGGGACTTCTCCCAGGAACAACCCCCAAAGAAAACTCTGTTCATTTAAATTCATTTCAGTCAAAGGGCCTGACTGAACAGCCAGAGCTGCACCTCACTGGAAAAATGCTCGAAAATCCAAGTTTTTCACCCCTGCCCCCACTGGTGAGCACCATAATCCTCAGCTCCAAGCAAACATTTCAGGAAATCTGCCCTCAGTGATGCAGATTTTTACTGAGGTTCAATCCAGCACATCACAGACAGTTTGAGTCATTGTAATAAACTTTAGAAATAAATTAAAAGAATAATTCTTAGGAGAAAAGTGAGTAGTTTGAATAATAGTAATGAACTTCAGGAATAAACTAAAAGAATAGATTTTTTAGGAGAAAAGCGAGCATCTGGCACAGGAATTTAGTAATGGAGTGAGGAACCTTTTCCACCTCACAACACACAGAATAATTCACTGCCAACCCCATTGCTTTCTTTTGTATTTATGAAACGAATATTTGCTATTTTATTTCTGTTTAGCTCTAAATCCCAGAAATAGAGCTTTGCTATTTTATTTATACTTATTTTTATTTGCTATTTTATTTCTACTTAGGTCTAAATCCCAGAAATAGATCTTTGCTATTTTATTTCTATTTATTTTTATTTGTATTTTATTTCTACTTAGATCTAAATCCCAGAAACAGATCTTTGCTATTTTATTTCTATTTAGGTCTAAATCTCAGATACAGATCTTTGCTATTTTATTTCTATTTATTTTTATGTGTATTTTATTTCTACTTAGGTCTAAATCCCAGAAATAGATATTTGCTATTTTATTTCTATTTAGGTCTAAATCTCAGATACAGATCTTTGCTATTTTATTTCTATTTATTTTTATTTGTATTTTATTTCTATTTAGGTCTAAATCCCAGATATAGATCTTTGCTATTTTACTTCTATTTATTTTTATTTGCTATTTTATTTCTATTTCTTTTTATTTGCTATTTTGTTTCTACTGAGCTCTAAGCCCCAGAAATAATCTTTGCTGCTGTATTTCTGCTGAGGACTGAATTACCATGGCTATCCAGGGGTTCCAGAAGGTGAAGGCCAGCATGATGTGCGAGGCCAGCGTGGTGACCACAGCACACAGCACCCAGATGATGTTCTTGCCAACTTTATCCACCAGCAGGCCAAACACTGGGGACATGGGGGCTGAGATGATGTACACGATGCTGCAGCAGAGGGAAATTCAACATTTAACACCCCCAGAGTCCTTTGTTAACTCTGAGGCTAGAGAAAAAAACACCCCCCCAAAAAAAATCCCAGTAATTTAGAATTTCCAAAAAGTTTGAGGACACGGAAGTGCTCGGCAGCCAAGGAAACAGTGACAGACTCAGGGCCCTGCAGGTGATTTCTTGTGGGGTTTTACTAAATTCATCCTCAAACCACCCAAATGGAGTTCCTTCAGTGTTGTTATTAAACTCCTTCTATCACTCAGAAAAGAATCACTAAATATTAAAACAAAACCCTTCAGAGCTTTTTCTTTCCAGTGTGAACATCTGTTTTTAATAAAAAACCACATCCACATTTCCCAGTTATCCCTTAAGTCATGTGAAATTATTTCTCCACCTAAATGCAGCTCACAGGAGATCCCAAATCTCTTCCCACCTGCCCAGAGCCCAAAAATACACCCTAAAACCTGGCACTGTTCCTTGTTCAATCAACCACAATGTACCTGTTAATTGCACTGGCTTCTTGAGGGGAAAATTGGAATTTTTCAATAAAGAAAACCCTGAAGGAAGAAAAAAAACTTATTTAGGAAAATGCAGACTTGAAGGGTGTGAAATCAAAATGAAGTTAGACAAAGACATGAGAATCTCATTTACAAAAATATTAAATAGAGCTTTGACAGAAACATCCCAGATTCTCATTTAGAATTTATTTAGGAGCTTGCTACCAGACTCCATAGATTTTAAATTAAGAATAATTTAAATTACACTTTGGGGAACACATAAAAAGTCCATAACCAAGATTTAACCCAAATAATGAGGTATTGGGCTGTAAATATGGAAGGAATCCTACAGGACCCCAAATTCCAACCCATGTTTTAAACTTGCATCAGGAAATCAAACGTCCCTCGTGCTCCTGAGCTCTGACAACTCAGAGCAGGAATTCCCTCAGAATGTGAAGCTTTTAAGCATTTTGGTGAAAAGCTTGGCCAAATTCCAGGAGAATGGCTGGAAAAGTCAGTGGCACTTACTTCCCAAGGCCAATGAAAGGGAAAACTGCAGCGTAGTAACAGACACAGATGACAAAGATGAGCCACAAGGACAGGGAGAAATCCTTCACATCTGTCAGCTTGATCACTTCTCCTGCACAGGGAGACACAGCCTGGCTTCAGTCAGGGTAAGAAACCTGGAGCCATCCCCACTGCAGAACATCCAGCTGATCCCAAATCCCTCCTAAAGCACAGCCCTGCTTGGAGAGTAAAGGTCCCCTCCACCCCAAACCAGTCTGGGATTCCACTGGATCTGAAATTTAGTTTATTTTCCATTGGCCTGAGCTGTCCCACGTGGAGAACTCAACCCACCACACACTGACAGGGAGGAGCTACATGGTTCTGCACCCCTGCTAAAGGAAATCAACTCCAAAAAAAGCACAGAACCAACAGCACAAACTGGTGCAAACCTTGGTTTTTATAAATAAAGCAGCTGGCAGTACATCTGCCTGTTGAGCTGGTGTTTAAAACTAAAACTCCATGTAAAAATGAGCTAAAAATGATGATTAGCAGTGTGACAAGGTTAAGCAGCAGGCACTGAGTTAGCTGAAATGCAAACCTGCCTGGTGCAGGGCAGCTGGAAGGGTCTGCCCCAGCACTCACCTGTTTTGCCCTGCTCTTTACAAAGCAGCTTCTCTGCTCTCCTGTCCAGGTAAGCCAGGATTAAAGCACAGCTCAGGGAGAAGAGGCAGGTGACCCCACCTGAGGAAGGCAACACCACATGGTCAGCTGACAACTCGAGCAGTAATTTGGTTTTCCAGCCCAGTTAGAGCAGTTTTTGCTGGACATCTCAGGCACGCCAAGTTTACCACCACAACTCAAGGGTTCAGGTGTAAAACAGAACCTGACACGTGGCACAAAGCTGCCTTGGAGCACAGAATGTACACGGATTTATTTTATTTAGAACATCACCACCACTCCCCCTCAGCTCCTCATCTGCCCCTTGCAGGAACAGAAACAAACCTGGCCTTATTCCCAACACCAAAATCTCCATGCCCGTGGCTCTGAGGGAAGAGAACACACCCCAAAATTGTTCAAATTTCCCTTTTACAATCAGATAACCACAGGCAAGCTTTGACACTCCTCAGAAAACTTTTCAAGCCTGTCCTTTGCCCAGAGGATGTGAAATATTTCACCTCCACAAGACACAAACTTGAATTTGGCAGCCCCAAAAATGCCACAGCGTTTCAGAAGCTGCAGTAACCTGAGAGAAAATGAGAACGTGATACAAAAAGTGTTGGAATTTTTCTTCCTAAGCTCAAACAGAGTTGTGCTGCTTTTAAGTGGTGAATAAATGATCTTAATTAATAAATGCTTTTCAGTGATTAATAAATCATGAACACCAAGCCAGAACATCACTGACCTATGAGCAGAGCCAGGCCGAGGGTGCTGGGACCAGCGTAGCCCAGGAGGTCCTGAACTCTGGAGTAGATCCAGCCCATAATATTCATGTTCACCGTGCTCCCCTAGGCACAACAGAGCCACGTGAAGCACCCAGCATTTCCCAGCTCCAGGGATACACCAGGAGTGTTTATTATTAAAATGCCACCCAGGGAACAGCAGGGGAAAGGATCCAAGTGATTCCAGGCTGGGCTGGTAACAAATTCATCAACAACAAGGATGTGACACCACAAACTGAAATTTATCCAAGGCTGCAAGAGTTTTCACTTATGAGTCCTGTCCTGATTTTTAAGTGTTAAGTTTTCTTTTACAGTTCTTTTAAAAGTTTTAAAGTTCTCATAAAACTTCTTTAGCCTTCTGATAATGTTTCCATATTTGAAAGTCAGAGCTCCCACACAATTTCATGTATAAATAGAATAGTTTACACATTTCTCTGTGGGTGGAGAGAAATGATTGATTGATCTTTGGAGCAGTGTGGTTGGAGAGGTGGTAAGTCCATCCTCCAATCCACGGTCACCTTTGGAATTCTATAAATACCAGATGTTTGAACAAAACTGGGTCTTTTCTCTTTTGAACTTCCCAAGCTTCTGTGTGCTCATTTTATGTCCAACAGTGACACGTGGGAAGTGCATAAACCCACGTGCAGGAGCTCATAAAAAGAGCTGAATTTAACCAAACAGGATTCCCAGCTGACAGGCACCAGGAAAAAGCCCTTTTCCCCTTTTTCTGCCCCAGGGTTGCCACCACGATGAACATCCCCCAGCCCCACCACAGCTCCAGCAGGGTTAAAAACCCCCGAAAGGAGCCCTAAAAGGAGGAGCACGGCCTCTCTCTCCGTGCCCTGGTGCAAACTCACAATCCTGGCCATGCTGAGCTGCAGTCCAAACACCAGGTTCAGCTCCTTGCCCTTGAACCAGCTCACTGCATAGGTGTTCTGGGCCACCGCCAAGGACTCGCCACCAATCCTGGAAAACAAACACAGCATCTCCAAAGCAGCAGGAAAAGCAAAAAGGGCCTTGGCAGGAGCACAGTTCCAGAGAAACCTGCAGATTTTAGTGCATATCCACATATACAGGGCAACAGAAATCAAAGATTCAACAATGGAAGTGCAGGGATTGAAGAGTAATTGGTGGCTCCAGAGGTTTTGATTCAGCAACGCCTCAAGTCCTGGTTTTGGTTTTCTAAGTTAGAAAAGAACTGGAGATCTTCTATTCCTCAGCTTCAGAGGTCTCAGAATGCAGCAGTTTTGGCTCCAAGTGGCAGCACTTTTCTAGGAGAGCTTTCTGGGGTTATTTTTGCAGTTGGCCTTACCTCAAAGAGCACAACTCTGCCCTTCCAGACTCACCCAAATACGAATCTGCCCACTTCCATCAGCCAGAACGTATTGAACAGCGCTCCCAGAGCAAAAACCACCTGCACAGCAGCAAAGGAGAATGGTAATTGTGCATTTCAGGCATGCAACAAGGCAGGACTGACTGAAAACAGCAACAAAAATGCTTTTCCCTTCCCCTTCCCCTTTCCAATCCCTGCTCTGTTTGGGTTTTGCTGCCTCTGCTGTTCAGCATCTCCAGCCTGGCCCACCCGGGACTGTGTCAGCCACAAGCAATTTCACATCAAACAGATAAAAACATGGATCTTTCCCACAGTCTTAGCCATTCCAAGGCATATAAAAAACGTGGATCATTCCCACAGTTTCAGCCATTTCAAGGCATATAAAAAACGTGGATCATTCCCAAAGTTTCAGCCATTCCAAGGCATATAAAAAACGTGGATCCTTCCCAGTTCCAGCCATTCCAAGGCTCCCTTGGCCAGGCTCTCCCAGTGCAGCTCTCACTGCCTCAGGTGAAACACAAACTCCAGACCTTCCCTCCCTCCCTGGACTCACCTGCCCCACACACACGAAGCTGCTGAATATGACAGTGCCCAACCTGCAAAGAGAATAAAATCACTTCGTGCACAGCCAGAATCCTTTTTTATTCCCCTGCAAAATGCTATTTGAGATCTGCACAGGGAAACAAGGGGAGAGGTGGGTGGGCAATTAAAAGGTCTGTGTAATGAACTGTGCAGCTCAAGGATTCCCATAGAGAACAGGTAGTACAAGGTGTTGTTTTTGAACCAAATTTATTTAAATTATTTACTTTATTTAAATATTTAAATAATAAATGTATATTATTTAGATCATATTATTTTATTTAAATTATATTTTTATATAATACAAATATATATTTATATACTTATGTTTATTATATAATAAATTTATTTATAATGCAATAAATATAAATAAAAAATATTATATAATATAAAAATTAATATAAATATTATATAAAAGTAAGAAATATACTGGTTAAATACTATTATTTATATTTATTATATTTATATAATGTAATTATAATTACATCTTATAATTCTAATTATAAATTATATTTATTTTAAAAATAATAATTTTTCTTGTTTAAATTTATCCTATTAAAATTATCCATTTAAATAATTTATATTATTTAAATTATATTAAATTACTTAAGTTATTTAATCACAAATTATTTAAATTATAAATTTTCAAACTATACTGTTTGAAAATCCTAGCCTGTGTAGGGGAGGAATCCTGAAGAGGTTTATTACAACCTTGAACGTAAAGTCTCTATAATTTAAGTCTCAAGATGAGCTGCAGCTGCAGCTCACGGCTGCGGGCACTCACCTGGCCCTGAACCCCAAACACTCCCCAGACCCTGAACCCCAAACACTCCCCAGACCCCAACACGGACCCCAAACAGTCACCAGACCCCGAACCCCAAACACTCACAGGACCCTGAACCCCAAACACTCCCCAGACCCTGAACCCCAAACACTCACAGGACCCTGAACCCCAAACACTCA